TGTTTGCATAAATACATACATATGTGATCTATTATTTCCTAAAATAGCGGCTCTCAAAGTTTTATAGAGTCCAAGAAAAAAGTCTGTCAAGGTTTGGGCCCAGAAATCAGTATAAATCAAGAAAGTCAAACCGCAAAGCATTATAACACAATATTCTAGAAGCAAGCCATATCGCGAAAAACTTGCTCACCTATGGACTTTACGGTGGAAAAAAATTATCGAAATTGAATTTAAAATAGATTAGAAAACTCGGAGTTCCTATGTCGAAATCCTAGTCGAAAACCTACCGTTCCGTATGTTAAAACCCCTACGAAGGGATCACGTCTGATCGAGCGCGTATTTTTACCAGATATTCCTGGATATGTATTCTAACTATGGTAATAGCGCCAGCTCATGAAACCTGTCCTAGGCTGTTTTAGATGGTGCCCAAAAATCCGAGGTCTCTAGGCGAAAATTCGATTTTACACATCTGTAATAGACTTTGAAGGAAAATTAAGGTGATATTCGGAATCAGCTCACCGATCTGCATCAAAACATGTACATACAATACTTTTTAAAACAACTTTTTACCCGTTTTCAAAGCAGTTCCAAGCCCGAAACCCTGACGTTTCGGATTTTGAAAACCCTACAAAGCGGTAAAGTTCAATCGAGCTGAAATTTTTATCAAGTACTCTTGGATATGTATCCTAACTATGGTAGTAGCGTCAACTCATGAAACTTTCCCTAGGCTATTCTGCAGGATTCCCAAAAACCCACGGTTTTCGGTAGGAAATCCGGTTTTAGACTTCCATATTACGTTTTTACGAAAAACTAAGATGATATTCGAAATCAACTCGTCAAGCTGCATTAAACTATATATGAAAAACATCATTTTTGTGCAAGCCAATTTTTGATAGAATTTGGCGGAAAACGACCGCTCATAGGTTTTTGGTCGAAAACTTCAGTTTTAGTCATTCATATTACACTTTGAAGAAAAAAAGAAGGTGATATTCGAAATCAGCGCATTAAACTACTTCGAATGATACGTAGCACTACATATTTTTCAAAAAGAACATTTTTCGAAAAAAAAGGCTGAGCCTCCCCAGCTTTTGTCGAAAAAATTTTTTCTTTCAAAAAAACCTTTTATTTTTCTTAAAAACGGTTTTCTGAGCGGTATACTGTCATTTCTAGTCAAATTGAAGCCATTCCTAAGCAAAAAAGCCGTATGTCCACGTGCTTATGTGAAAGCTCCCCACTGTGATCCATGAACTAAGTCAAAGATTTCCCAATTGAAGCAACAACTAACAATTATGTATCCCATTACGATATCTCTTCACAAACTCTTCCATTATCTCAACTTTCATCCTCCCACACATAGATACTAGGCATACTCGATCTCCATGGCAATCCAATTGGTAGTCAGGAAGAAAACATCTTCCTAAAGCTCTCGAAGAAAAATGAACACAATTTTAATATCTTTTGACAGTATTACTTCTTATAAACTGACTTTTCTAATGTTAGCCATTAGGATGTGAGTATGGGTTTGAATGCTCCTTAATATTTGTGCCTTATCTTCACCCATACTTATCCCTCGTTTTGAGCGATATTTGATAAGAATTTGAATTATGCTCTTTGTCCAACTAAATTATCTTTTGATCTTTTGTCTTGTTTTGCTTTTTTTGTGTTTTAGATTTGAAACAGAAACACGTTGTTTGCTTTTGACTATGAATCAATGTATCGTTAATAGAATATCCAATAAGTAACGGGGTAATCGAAAGTTTTGAGACAAAAGTAAAACATTTACTTCTATATCGTGTTTCACTTTTATTTTCTCATTTTTTTTTCTCAAAACTACAATGATATCAAATGAATAGAATTATATATTTACAAAGTGGAAAAAGGTCCTTTTTCTTCGATTTTTCGCAATTTTCCACGAATACTATTCATCATAGTTTGGACAACTTTCAAATCAATTTTTTTCAATTGTGTTTTGATTCTGTTCTTCAATTGTCTCTCATTCATAGCCGTCCAACCTCCGTTGTGTACCTTATCAGCTAATATCGACCAGAAATCCTCGATCGGTCGAGCCTTTGAAACATTTGACGGATTGATGCGTTTTGGTACAAAAGGTATCTCATGCTCATTAAGCCATTTAGTCGTTGTTTTGACATAGTGTGAGGTGGCCAGATCCGGCCAAAATATATAATTATTGTGTTGATGGTGTTCGTTGATAAAAGTCATTAGTTTTGGTAAGCATTCTGTAATATATATATAACGATTTATTGCTGGACCTTTTGTCGTTCCAATGAATGGTGCTGAAATGTCTTTGTTGGATAATGCCAATCAAACTAGTAGTTTAGGTGTAAATTTCTCTTTGGATTTGAATTTCACATCCGGTGGAGTGTCTCGGTTATTAGACGAGTAAAATCCAGCAATTCCGAGCATGTTATCGCCCGAATGTGTGAAATATTTTTCGTCATCGATGATGATGACTGTTTCACGATTTGTCACTTTCCGGCGTAGTTTTCGACATTTGCTAGGTATTTGTTGGAGCTGTTTTGCATTGTATTTTGGCGCACGTTGTCTCTTGTAATACTTCAAATCTAATTTGTTCAAATTTCGTTGAATACACAACCGTGAGACCCTGAATTTCATGACCAACTTTTCTTGGCTGATACCCACACGATTTTCGGCACATTCTTTCAACTTTTGTTGTTGTTTCTTATTCAATTTGGATCGACGTCGTTTTCTTGGCTTATCTTCGCATAGTAGACCATCTTCAAAACGTTTGATGATACGATAAATAGTTAGCCGTGGAATGTTTTCTATTTGAAAATGGTTTACAATATCAATTTTCGTCAGTTGTCCAAGTAGAGCATACACTCTTCTTCGAAGATCAACTCGCTTCGACACATACGAACTCATGTTCGAAAAACGTGATATATAGTAGAAAGAGAATCAGACGGGCTACAAAGCATTATAAAAATGAGGGATCGATCCACGCGTTTAAACCGTCTTTCTTAACCAGAGATTTTGTCTCAAAACTTTCGATCATCCCGTTATTACTACTAATAAGCGTGTTTCGTCTGCGTTTACTTTCAAATGATGAAGCAAGCTTTTATATTACGTTTCGAATCTTTATCAACTCGATGCAATTAAATGGAATGATACAAATACCCTCATTATGGGTATTAGATAGTAGATTGATGAGTTTTGATTTCACAAAAACGAATGTTGTGTATAAACGAATGGAAGAATAAGTAAAATGATCATAAAAAGTGTGTATACTAGGCAACTGTGGTTTGAAACTGCAATAGTATTGGGCTCGTGTTTTCCACATAGTAAATAATAATTCATATTCGACCAATAACCAGATGGATGGGTAAATATAGAACATCTTTTAAATATTAGATTCATGAATTCATGATTTGCGTCGCATTGTTTGCAAAGCAACTAATGACTTCCTATAACTTGGTGAAGTGAACTAAAACAATGGATTTTCTCTCAATTCATTCGTTTGTTGTTAATATCTTAATCATTACCGTATTCAATCATGTTTTCATTGAAATATTCTATTTTTTATTTCCTAGATGAAATATTTATACGATCATGTCCTCTGAGGGCAGCGTCTTGGTCATCGATACATAACATTTTAAGGTACTGATGGTCGCAATCTAGCAGCATAGCATTTTACAGCTGATGTTCTTGTAGTACAATCACAATTTATCATAGTACTAAAAACGAATGATTTTTTTATTTTATTTTTTTTTTGTTTTCACTATAAACATCTATTATTTTTGGATGTCGAAGTGATTTGATCCTGCTTGTATATCCAATCGGGAATAATCGGATATGATATCGGATTACCTCCAAACAATCGACATTTTCTCTAGAGGAACCAATTGAATTCGATCTGGATTTTGTCGGAATCATTGTAATCGATTTTCGGACTGGATCGTACAAGAAAAGTATGATTGATGATTATTGACAAGTAGTCCTTGTAAAATAAAATCTGCTTTGACAAAACATACTGTGACAAATAATTTTTCTATATTTACATATTTTTTTGTTTTAAATGGCTACAAAAGTAAGAAAGTCTATCAGCATGAAAGACTGCTTCAAAGAACTACTGTCATATCATATATTAATTTGTTACTCAATTTTAATGAATAAGTTTCTTCAAAGTAATTTTTTTGGTTTCATAGAAAAGAAAAGTTCTTCTAAATTCACTGTGGAAGATACTGCAATTAGAGTTTACCGAAACTATTTTTATGTCAATGAAGTGAAGTAAAGATTTTCTTTTTTTATATAAAAGTTTTGCCATTTTCCAATCTTTTCTCTTACCATAATCGTGTTTTAGAAATAATATGTTCCAATAAAATACCGACAAGTTTAATGTCACTTTGTAGAAAAGAAAATAATACGTCTCAATGCGTATTTTTTGTTGTTAAAGTTTATTCTAAAACGAACATGCGAAGAGCATTTTCTGAAAGATTTTTGTCGGTAGAGGACGCTAAAATTGATTATCAGAGGCTGTTGTCATAGATCTTAATAAAACTAAAAGAGATGAAAACTTTTAGTACTTTTGATGAAAATGTCTCTTTCCAAGATAAATTGATAAATTATTAAAAAAATTCATTCACTGAAAGTAGATTTATTGATAGTTTTTTCGTTGTCATATAGAAGTATAGGATTGATTGGATGTTTGATTGACATTCAAGTTCATATGAGAAGAAGAAAGTGTGCATTAGAATGAAAAGTGTACAGCACATAACAATGTACGAGAGAGAAAACAAAGTGAAGAGTAAAGAATAAAAAGTGAAAATATCATTTAATAGGAAGAATTACGAACAAAATGTAAAATATATTCAATATTTATTAATTATCTGAATGAGTTGTGAGTGGATAAAGTTTCTGTTTTGTTATATAATTAAATCGATTGTATTTGTGAGTATTGTCTTTATATTTAAGATATTTGTTTTCTTGTAAACATGTCTTTATGTAAAGATGAAATACTAACAATGGATTCACGTGTAATTCTTTCTGATAAAAATACAATGCCACGACTTGGTAATGTTTAAAATAAAATATTTTAAAATAAAAATATTCATTTGCATTAATGAAGGTCTTGGTACATGGAGAAGTGAACCAGAAAAAGTCCAAAATATAGTTAAAGAAGCTATATTAAATTGTGGTTATCGTCATATTGATTGTGCGTGGTTATATAAAAATGAAAGTGAAGTTGGTAATGGTATTAATGAAGCCTTAGACTTAAGTCAAGGAAAAATAAAACGTGAAGATTTATTCATTACAACTAAATTATGGAATCAAGTTAAAAGAAAAACTTCTATTTTCTTTCGAATTTATTAATAAAATAATATATTTATTTTAGCATCATGGACGAGAAGATGTTGAATGGGCTATTCGTGATAGTTTAGAAAAACTTCGATTAGATTATGTTGATCTTTATCTTATGCATTGGCCTGTTGCTTTTAAAAAGATGAATGAAAATCAATGGTCACAAAATGAAGATAAAACAGTTCGTTATTATGATGAAAATATAACACTTGCTGATACATGGAAATCAATGGAAAGATTAGTTGATTTAAAATTAGTACGTTCAATAGGTGTATCAAATTTCAAACCATCAGAAATAAATGAAATTATTCAAATAGCTCGTATTAAACCAGTTGTAAATCAAATTGAACTTCATCCATATTTAAATCAAAAAGAATTACGTGAATATTCTAAAAAAGAAAATCTTATTCTAACAAGTTATTGTCCATTAGCAAATTTAAAACGATTAAATGAACGTGAAGAAGAAACATCACCATTATATAATCCTATTATTAAACAAATAGCAAAATCAAAAAATCGAACAACATCACAAATTATTATTCGATGGCATCTTCAACATGGTCTTACTCTTATTCCAAAAACAATTACATTACAACGTCTTTATGAAAATTGTCAAGTATTTGATTTTAATTTATCAGACAATGATATGTTTATAATTGATCAATTAGAAAAAACACATCATAGACGTTTCGTTAATCCACCATTTTTACCACCTGGGAATAAAAATGTATTTGATGATTAACATAAAACAAAAAACATTTTTCTTTTTATTTGAATTATTTTTAATAAATAAAATGTTTGAATAAATTATGAAGCCAGACGAATTTTACAAATCTCACCAGTTAAACAAAACTAATGAAATAATTATCCGAAGTGAAACTCATCGTTTGATCTTTCATTTGATCCACAAACAGACTTCAGTGAAACTAGCAAAAGCCTAATATAATTTTTCCTCGTGTATCTTGAAAGATAGTAGCGATTTGAAATCAGAAATCTAGTGGCTGATTCTATCCAGTTACGACTGGAACTAGAAATACCTGATCACCAGATCTGATCATCGGGTTTCTATTTTCAACTTTCTACCATTTTCAAGAATTCTTCGACAGGAATCTGTCAGATATTCTCAGATTTCAGTGCCAGAATCATTGACATATAGAACAATAATATATTGGCATTGTAACGATTAATAATGGCCCTGACTGGGTTGATACGTAATGACAAACTGAATAGAGGTGGAGTAGCTTACCGCCACTCTTGACAATGATGTTTATTTGCTTCTTCGCATATCCAGAGTGTAACAACTTCATACATAACACACATATATATAGGAGAGAGATGGAAGAGAGACAGGAGAGAGATATATTAGAACAACGGAAAGAGAACAGACAGAGAAGGAAGGAAAATCATCGAACCGTGTCATAAATATCGGCACAGGCATGGCTACGCATCGGTCACCCTCGTGTGGGGAAGGTTCAAGATCACAAAAGTGAGGAATAGTGTCTCGACAGTCGGAAATGTTCTATCTAACAGATTACTAAACATGTTGCAAGCTATAAGAGGAGTGATATAAACTTCACTTTTTGGCTCGACAGGTGTTGAAAAAGAGATTTATTGACTAATTTCATCAGAAAAACATACCCATGTCGTACATTTATTTGAACTACCGCCGGTATACCGCGGTACTTGAAGAAATTGGCGGTTTTTATTAAGTACCGCGGTGTAACGGCGGTTTTCTTAGGTACTGTGGTATACCGGCGGTCAAAACACTGCCAAAATACACATCAATTTATCTATATAGATGACTATTTTTGTTTCTTTAATTTAGATAATTCTCAACATAACAATGAAGATTAAGTATTTATTACAGAAATTATAATATTTTTCTTTTATTTAGATCAATCCGAAAATAATCGACTTAACAAAACGACGAAACAAAGACGAAGTAACAATTGCTAATCATATCTACGATTCGAAGTCTTACAAATCTAAGAATAAATGTTAATTGTCATAGGTTGCAAGTTGGTTTAGTGAATCAATTCATTAAAAATCCTCTTATTTTTTTATTTATATATCGAAAGTTGTTTTTGAGTGAAATGTAAAAGTTATTTAAATTCTTCTCGGAAACAGTTAAATTTCGCTCAAAAAAAAATTTTCGATATCTAAATAAAAGAATAAGACGATTTTTTATTAAATAGATTCACTAAATGGACTTGCGTCCTATGATAATTTACGTTTATTCTTAGATTCGTACCCTGATAGTCCCGGTATACCGCCAGTTATTTTTTTTACTACCGGTAAATACCGTCGGTTTTTTTCCGGTTCGAATAATATGAGTAATTTCTCACTTTTTCACATTGTATTTTTGTCTGAAAAGTAGATAGAAATTCTTATGAGATTCCATTGCGAGAATAAAACTAACATACTGGAAAGATAAAACCATCTGTGTACTACTTATGTATCAGAAAAAAGATGAGTTTTATCTTAACAGTTTGAAATGACAATTTCTGAAATCTCCCTCTGTAGAACTACAAAAAAAGTTGAAATTCCGTAACGATCAATATTTCAAGTTTTTTATTGGATAAAGCTAAGACGAATCAGAAATGACCTGATATTCTAATAGCTTGTTAAAAGCTGGACAACTTTTGAATATAACCTTCATTTGAATACTTCGTTCTTTCATATAAAAATGTTTAACTGGTAGCCTCCATAAAAAGGATTTCAATTTTTCAAATTCCGTAACGGTCACTATTTTTTGAATAACTCTGCTGCGGTCGAAGAGAAATTGGTGAAATCTTTACTGATAATAGATCTAAGTGAGCTGTATTTATGATAATAATTTCAGATAGTTTGCTTATATTACTAAGCAATTACACAGGTTGCAATCTGAAAAAATGAAATTCCATCACGCGTGGCCACGCCGATATGAAAATAGAAATGATTAATCAAGATTGGCAAAGATGAAATATGTTGAAAAACGAATTCTCACTTTTTCATCACCAAAAAAGTTCATATGTATTATATTATTTTATTTCAAATTAAATGAAACAATAGAATAATTAATTTTGTATAAAACGAGATATCTTAGAATTGATAATAACCCTTTTAGCTGAGATAAAACAATATAAGTTAAATATTAAAAATTAAATTTTTCATAAAAAATTCTGAAAAAACAAATCACATGACGAGTTTCTGTAAAATGTCTCTATCTCAGTGAAAATTAATTTTAAAGAATATATTTCCATGTTCTAACTACTTAAAAATAATGATTTGCTTTCGTGAAGAACTAATCTTTAACAATTGTCTAAACATTATTATTTTCTTCCATTCTTGTTTTAGTATAGTTTTCTCTAATTGAATGACTATTTTTATTCTGTTTATTGTTTAAAGATAATCTCTGTATATATATATATATATATGGAATTTCTAAATAAATAATAATTATATGTAAAAGTGTTTGAAAAACAAAATTTCATATTCATCTGTTCTCTTATAAAATAAACAAAACATATTATCATCACACTGTTTTTAATAACAAAATTTGTTTTAAAACTCTTTGAGTAAATAATATAGTATTGATTAAATTAATTTAATTTCGATGACTATTATTAAAACGTCGTGTCAAACAGTTGATTATTTACTTAACTTGTATACTAAAAATAACATTCTTTTTATTTCAACTTGAATAATGATATATCCACCTTGAATAAAAGGGACAAATACACTTATTGACCCCTCTCATGTATTGACCCAATTTGACTAATTAGCCCCTGGGAAGTTCATTAAAAAGTATTCCCAAGGGTTCCAGACCAATAGTTTAAGAGACAACATAATTCGAGGGTGTGGATGGATGTGGGGTGTGGGTGTGGATGGGTGGGGGTGTGGTGTGGGTGTGTGGTGTGTGTGGGTGAGGGTGTGTGGATGGAGTGTGGGTGTGGGTGTGGGTGTGGGGTGTGAATGAAGAGATGTAATTCACACCCACACCCTACTTTTTAATGAACTTTCCAGGAGCTAATTAGTCGAATTGGATCAATGCATGAGGGGGTCGACAAGTGTATTTGTCCCACAAACTTCAATGATAAGAATAAAATTGAAGAAAGAACGATAAAATATAACAAAAATTTTTGGAGCTCCTTATGTTTTGCAATAGAAGTTTTTTATACATATTTTATAGAGCTTTCGATGGTACATATTTTGAAAAAGGATTGATGTGCTATCGTTTTCTTAGGACAAGTTACATGTAAAATATAAAAGTCTTCGAAACAGTTTTATTACGTTAAATATGGTGAGAGACATCACTATCACATGTACCTTATTTTTATTTCGTCCATGGAAGAAATCATCAAAAGAAGTCAAGAGGGATTCATTCTTAAAGTTTTTGCAGAAATTTTCAAGGCGCATCTTTTGCAAAAAAAAAAAGCAAAATTTTATTATTTGTCTATGCAGAAATATTCGTAAAATAAACTATTATGCAAACTTTTTGGCATACATGGCATTTCTCAGTGTTTTATATTTTCAATAAAATCGAAAATATTTTTATATCAAAATGATCAGCGAAAAAAGCTCTACAAGTTTTGATAAAGTAAAAATTCTTCTTAGTATTTTGTGTTTTGTTTTGTGATTGATTGTCTATGGAAGCATTCTATAACAACAATATGATTTTTTTAGTTTTTTATTCAATTTTATTCTTACCATTGAAGTTTGTTTGTTTTTGTTATATTTTAAAGTAAACGGCTTTTCGTATTAAATATATCTGGATAGTACTCGATCTCTACTATACAGGTATCATATAGACAAATTAAATTAATGTTATGTAGTTTAAATACATGACTCAAAACAAAAATTGATATAAGACTTTTGAGTAGTACTGTAGATAAATGAAAACTTTATTAATCTTCAATATTTTCTAAATTTATCTCCTCCAACGATAAATATTCAAGTGAATTCTATTTTTGTCAATATGAAATTGTATTTTCTACAGCGAAAACATTCATTCGTGTATTCATCTTCTTAAATATCCATTTGATTGAGAAATTTTTTGTTTTTTTTCTCATTTATATTCGTACTGAAAGAAGAAAAACAATGTTAGATATTATCATTTTTTTTTGTTGACATTTGAATTCTATGCAATTTATAATATAATATTCAATAAAAACTAAAATAATGATGGATTTTCAATGAGAAAAATAATTTTACATTGATTTAATTAATATTTAATTTGACCATTAAAACATCAAATAAATTTTTATAATTTATATACACGACAATATAACGGGCGAATTATAATAAATAGCCGAACTTGGCATTGCATATTTTTATTTCAAAATACGTATCATTAAAAAAAAAAAAAAACTATACCACGAGATGCAGCGTGACAAGCTCTACAATCTATAATGTAAAGCTTTTTTTAATTATGCATTTTTTGTTTTCAAAAAAAGCAAAATTCTCTAAGGTCTCTTTTTGTCTTTGCGAAAACATCATTTTTTTCTACACGAACGAGAAATTTCTTTTTTCATCTTTTATCATCTGATATGATTTCGTAAATAAAAATAAATTATTCCGGAAGATGCAGCGTGAAAAGCTCTACAACCTACAAAGTAAAGCTTATTTTCAATTGTGTAGTTTTTGTTTTCAAAAAATGCAAAATTCTGTGTGATCAATTTTCGCCGTTGCAAAAACAAATTATTTTTTTCTACACGAACGGGACATCTTTTTTTCTTATCTTATCTTTTTATCACGCAATATGCTTTCGTAAAAAAAACAAAATATACCAAAAGATGCAGCGTGAAAAACTATACAATTTGTATCGAGCAGTTTATTTTATACATGAAATAAGAAAAAAGGAATTTCTCGTCCATGTTGAAAAAAATTATGCTTTCACAACGGCGAAAATTGGTCGTACATAGTTTTGATAAGAAAAAGTGTGCAATTAAAATAAGCTCTACTTCCTAGATTGTAGAGCTTTTCACGCTGCATCTCGTGGTATAGTTTCTTTTTTTAATAATAGATATTTTGAAATAAAAATATGCAATGCAAAGTTCGGCCATTTATTATGAGACACCCGTTATTTTTTAATAATAGAATTCAGCAAGTATAATATATCTTTTCATGTTTTTATAAAACTTGAAAGAATAATAGTTTTAAAGCGACATACATCTTTCAGTAATATATGTATGAGATAAAGAAAAACAAAGAATAATATGATCTATATAAAATGAAACATACATCATCACCAACTACAAATTAATTGTTGGAATAAAACGCAAATATGCATATTTATTAAGAATACAGATATATACTTATAGATATTTTTAATTTCGATGCTAGAAACGACTGAAGATAATCACTGTTTATAAATAAAGAAGAAAAACTAATGTATAACTAGTTTGTCGATGACATACGTCGACGGCATACAGGACATATACGTGTTATTAGTAACCAATTAGCAACACATTCAGAATGAAATAAATGTGCACATTCAAGTTTTTTAACAGGTTCATTAGCTTCAAAGTTTGTTCGACAAATAGCACTAAAAAACAAAAAATATTTATTTGTTTTTCAAAAAAAAAAAAAAAGTGTTTAACCATTCAGTTTGATTAAATTGATCAGGTTCTTGACCAAATAAAATAACTGGTAATGCATCTATATTTTCTTGTGTTGCTGGAGGATTTTGATTAATTGGAACAGGTGAAGCTGCTACCCAACCCTAAATAATAATTAAAATAAAAGAAAAATATACAGAAAAATCTCTTCAATTTTATTTTACTCGAATTAATTCAAGTATTGGAACAGTTATTGATGCTGGTAAACAATAACTTAAAATAATTCCAAAAAAAACTCCTAAACAACATAATATTAATATTAATGGTACAATAAGTAATGGAAATAATATTCGTATCCATTGCCATACTAATAAAGTTTTATATAAATAAGGTGCATGTTGTCGACATGATTGACCTGAACGTGGTTGAAATAAAAATAAAGCTCCGACTGAAAAATAATAAACAACAATAAGTGCACCAAAATAATTTAAAAAATATTGTAAACCATAATAATATATATATAATTGACGTCCATTTGTTAAACGATAACATAATTGACTTATTAATAAATGAATAATATGTAATAATGTTGTACAAGCAAATAAAATACAACCTGTATAAGCATAAGTTTTTAAAGGTGCACCTAAATAAATATCTTTTGAATTATTATATATACATGATGGTTCATCAATATTTTTCATAGATGATCCAATTGTAGCAATATATGTTGAATTAATAATTAATATCCAGAAAAGAATAAAAAATTCAACAAGTAATGAACGTCTTGTAGGTAATTCAGGTTTTGTTGGTGGTATAACCATTATTAATAATGTACTTATGCAAACAATTCCAAGAGAAAATCTTATTAATTCACAATTATTTGTTTCAGGTAATTTAGATGTTAATGTATAAGCTGTTCCAACACAAACAGGAATTATTTTTAAAAAAATAAAAAAACCACGTAAAGCTGAAACACGTCGAAGTCTTTCATTTTTTTCTTCTTCACTTAATCTTCTATAATTTGATGATTTATTATGTAAAAAAAAATAAATTATTATTGTTAAATCAATAAAATAAAATATTAATAAACATATTGATGTAATAACTAAACGATTTGATCTATAACATATATGTTTAGTTGATGTTATACCAATTAATAAAATAATTATATCAAATAAACGATAAAATAAATGAAGTAAACTACCAGATAATATTCTATCATATTCAACAAATGAATTAATCCATGTTGTTTGATTATTATCATTTGTTAATGTTGATATTCGATTATTTGTTGATAATATTCCATTTTCTAATCGATTTATTGAATTATTATTACGAATAGGTATTTCTTCAGAATTTGAAACAATACAATTATCAATACCTACATTAATTGATGATGTTGTCATTTTTATTAACTTAACTAAAACAAATAAATAATCAAAAGAATTTATTAAATAAATTTTTATTTTTAACAAATATTATTTTTAAGAAAATTTTATCATAGAAAATAAAAATATCATATACCTATGATAAAATCATATATTTTACTTTTAAATGAAAACATTTATAATCTACAGTGAATATATTATAGATATATGTATTACGAAATCTATTATTTTACAGATAAGCTTAAACGTTATATGATTTTTAGAAGATTTTTTTTTTCTTTCTTCTTTCTCTTTCGATAATAGGAATCTATCAATGATTCACTCACAAATATAATCAAACTACGATATATTTATCATAAATAATGTATGTCATTGTTAATTACTCGTTTTCCTTTTTTTCTTTTTCTTTTGTTTTATTTTTTTATTCTTTTTGTTTAACGTCTAGAATTACGCTCATTGAACATCATCATATCAATCAATAAACGAACAAGTTTATATAATAAATTCAAGGTAATTTTATATTAAAATATATCTTAAATTCTTTTTTTAAAAATTTTATTAAAAAATCTTACCAAAAATTTAAAAATATTTATCTATTTTTATTAAATAGATGAACAATTTCTTAAAAATTAAATATTGAAATAAACATATGACAAATGATTTGTTTCTATAAGATTAGTCACATTATTGATGTAGGCGATAGACGGGCCAAAAAATTGTTATTTATTTTTATCTAATATATTTATCATCGGTTAGTTTAAACAACCAATCGAATGTGTGAAAGAGATGGCACTACAATTGATTTTGAGGTGCATGCACGTTGTTGACCTCAATGAATAGTCGACGTAGTTGTACTTTCAATTATATATAGAAGTGATACATATTGAAATCGTTTTTATTAGTATTTTACTAAAATGGAAAAAAAAGACGAAACAAAACCTTTAGTAACAATTAAAAAAGAAATTGTACGTCAAGAACGTTGGTATTTTGGTGGTTTAGCTGGTATACTTGCTGCATGTTGTACTCATCCACTTGACACATTAAAGGTTCAATTACAAACCCAACAACGAGCTGATTATGGACTTATTTGTAAAAGAAATTTTTTTTTTTTTTAAATTTAAAAAAAGAAAATTTAAAATTTTTTTAGCAATGGCAGCCAAGGTTATACGTGATGATGGATTTTTAGCACTTTATAATGGTTTATCGGCATCATGTCTTCGTCAAGCAACATATACAACAACACGTTTTGCTATATATGGTAGTGTTCGATCACTTCGACCAAATTCAAATTTAAGTTTTATCGAAAAAATTTCTCTTGCTGCTGTTTCGGGAGCTGTTGGAGCATTTGTTGGTTTGTTTATTTAATATTTATTTAATTAAAAAAAAACAAAAAGAATAAAAATATAAAATATAATTTAAAAATTAATTTTCTTTGTAAAAAGGTGCACCTGCCGATCTTGTTAATGTTCGTATGCAAAATGATCCGAAATTACCAAAAGAACAACGACGAAATTATAAACATGCTATTGATGGAATTGTTCGAATATGTCGAGAAGAAGGACCTAAAAAATTATTGAATGGTAATAACGAAATTTTAAAAAAATTTCTTTTTCTTTTTCTTTTTTGTTTTATTTTTAATTTATATTTATTTAAATAAAGGTGCATCAATGGCTGTTATTCGAGGAGCTTTTGTAACTGTTGGGCAAATTGCTTTTTATGAACAGGTTAAACAAGTATTATTAGCTAGTGGTTATTTTAAAGATAATATTATAACACATTTTACATCAAGTTTTGCTGCTGGTTAATTTCTTTTGAAAATTTAAAAAACAATTAAAATTAAAATTTATTATTTTTTTTTTCAAGGTGCTGGAGCAACATTATTAACAATGCCATTAGATGTTATGAAAACACGAATGATGAATGCACCACCAGGAACATATAATTCTTTACTTGATTGTTTTAAAGATATTATGAAAGTTGGTCCAGCTGGACTTTTTAAAGGATTTATGCCAGCTTTTATACGACTTGGTAAAATATATCTTCTTGTTTATTTATTTAAAATAATATATATATATATATATTTGTTTTTTAAATTAGGTCCACATACTATTTTAATGTTTATCTTTCTTGAACAACTTAAAATAAATTTTGGTTACATTAAAAAAGATAAACAATAATTTATTTATTTAACAATTTATTATCTAGAATTTAGAAATACAACGTCAAATCAGTATTAACTATAATCAGCTCAATGTTTATTTTAATATCAATGACTGACAAACTTTTTCCGCACATTTTATGTAGCTTTATTATTTTCGAATGTCAATAGAACGTATTATTTAGCAATTATTCTCTCACATATATATAACCCTCGTCCTGCCTCTATTTTGAAAAAAAAGAACTTAGAAACTTATATCCTTTTATGTTTGTTTGTAACTCTGATTGTGTTTATCCATATATATATATTAGTGATTGAGAAGAGTACTTCTATATTTATTTTACAAAACAAAAGAAAGATCGTCTTTATGAATATTTATCTTTAATCATAAACAACATAAACAGTTAGAAAAAAATATTGATATAATAATGTATAATGGAAATTATTTACTAATAATATAACCAGATTTTTGATATTTTCAGTTAATTAATTCATTGATAATCTTATCTAGATTTGACTTTTAATCATTTTTGTAAATTTGAATATATATTTATATCTTTGAAAAATTTTCAAATATTCTGATTCGATGTTTTTTTTAAAGACTATTCAGTTAATCGATTTATGTCTAATAGTTGAAGACCTGTTATATATTTATATAAGTAGAATTCTTTTTATTTATCGTTACAATAGAATTTTATATCATTTCATAATGTTGCTTTTTTTTCATAACGTATGATTTTTGTGTGATACTTGAAATAGTGAGTTATCTTTAAAATATTCTACAGATATTCGGAAAAAAAAATGATCCTATGATAGTCACATCTTTAACACTATAAGACATTTGACGTTTTAGGTATGTTTTCATAAAATATTTATTAAAAAATGATATTTCAATGAAAATAATTAACCATTCGATGGATAATGTACACTTTTTATGTAACTCGTTGATTTTGTTAAAAGTTAACTAGTTACATAATATTGATATCGTGATGACTGACGTGATCATAGTCCCTTAAGCTGATCATATTATTTTCTAATAGTTCGGTACAATAAGAAAATAATAAATAAAAAAGTTTGATGTTTTTAGTCAGTTTAATAAAGATTTGTATATATTTGTTAAATATTAAATAGCATATGATTTAATAGTTAATTTATAAAAATATATGTTTTATATGAATAATAGTATTAATAATAAAACAAGTGTAGTATATGAGTCGTATTATAAAGTTGTGACAACATAATACTATGTTATTTATGGAAAAGGTCAAATAGTGTTAAGCTATTTTCCTTATGTTATAATAAGATAATAATATGTTTAAATTGATTTTATCTTTTCAGTCAATTTATATTTTATTTGTTCAACTAGAAAAAATTTAAATTGTTAATTCTTGAAAATTATAGAAGATTATATGAAGAGAATAGTTTTGTTTTGTTTTTGTTTTTCATGGAACAAAATATTTTTGACGAGAAATATTTATTTATTTAAATCGATTTTAATATTGATAGAAGTAAAATATAGTCTGAAATAGATTTCTAACTTAATATAATTAATTTAAAAAAATAATAATTTTAGAAAATGAAAAAATCTACTAGAAAAAAATCTCCATCATCAACATCATGTTCAAAAATTGATCCAGTTAATATAATATCAATATGTCCAAAAAATGATATAGATTTATTGAGTTATTATAGTCATGAACAAGTTCATATATATGATAAACTTTGTTCAAGTATATCATATTGTTGTGAAATAGGATATTGTACATCAGAAGGTATAACAATATGTGTACCAGAAAAATTTCAACGAGAATCATCATCAACATCATATGATTATTTATCATCATCATTATCATCAATGATTATAACTAGAATAAAATATCCATTTGAATCAAATGATCAAACAAATTCATTATCAATTAATTCAACATCATATTTAATATTTGAATTATTAAAAAATAAATATTTATCAAATCTTTATCAATCATATAAACATTCTCCAAAATCTTTATCATCATTTGATAATTTACTTTCTTTTGATACAATTAAATATAAAGGTTTTCGTCGATGTTTATTTTCTCCATATGATATTACATTAAATAATGGTCAAACAATATTAGCAACAATAACATGTGCACATGAAGTTTTTATTTATGAAATTTTTTCATTTTCTAAAANTATTATTATCGATTTTTCAGAAAGATTCTCAAAAATGGTTGACTAGACAATAATTTCATCATGCATAGAATCATAATTAAAACATGTCCTGATTCGACAGCTTTCGATTGGTGAAAATCGCAGTTCGTTAGCTATTGCCATTTTCGAGATATTCGTCTTACGTCCACTCTTTTTCACTTCTGGCACCGACAATGAAAATATGCATCATGTATATTCATATTTGTCTATTTTACAATAATTAAGTTTCTTTATAAAAATTTATATATATTAATTCAAAGAGTAAATGATCGTTATTTAAACAAAGATTAATACTAAATAAATATAAGAAAAAGGTAGTTTGACATTATTTCCTCGAATACCAATCATTGAGCTAAAATCTAAATTGCCATTTTGATAGTTGACGAAAGTTGTTTATCAATTTAAATCGATAGACAAATATCATTGATGGTCTATCAGAGGATCGTTAATCAATAATAAAAGAGTATAGTTTTCTGAGAGTGATCGGTCGTTTGAAATATACTTGTATTTTCTTTTTGAAAAGCGTTTCTCTCATATTCGATCTATTATATTTCGCTATGAAATCTATTTTATAAAAAAATTTCATTGGTCATTGAAACCACTTTTTCGATTTTAGTTAAATGGTTTGGATCTATAATGAAAAAAAAAGGAAACATCCACATTAGATTCGTTTTATATTTTGGATGATTATTATATATCAATATATATTCTGTAAGAATTTAATTTGATAAAAAAGACAAATAATAGAAGAAAAATCCATAGATCGATGAAAATAGAATTTCTAATTGATTATTAGTGAAAAAAAGTAGATTTTCATATTGCTGTTATTATTGTAAAGACAAGACAAATAATATAGGTATGTTCATAGGAATAAAATTGATAGGTGACGCCATCTGTATAAATATATATGTATACGGTTGGAATTTTTCTATAAGATCGAATATAATCGAGAACGAGAAAGAAAACATGTTTGTTTTTCTTTCTTTCTTTCTTTTGTTTGTTATCAATCAATCGATGAATGAAAAGAAAAATCTTTATGTTAAAAACTTGATAAAGATAAAGTTATGTTTGTTAAATTAGCATTTTTATTTCTATTAATAAATAAACAATTATCTGTTAATTGTTATTCACCATGTTCATTAATTTGTTTTAATCAGACCGAAAATGATATAAAAGCCCCACCTATCTATATAAATGATACAATAAATGATGCATTTATATTATTTGGAATAAATTGTACAAGTAATGATAGTCTTATTTATGGAAATGTCTCCATTGAAATTGATAATAAACGTTCAATTGAAATAAAAACTAATTTACCATTAGATTTAATTAAATTTAATGATAAATCAAAAAATGTAACATTTAATATAACAATTCATGGAAAATTACTTGGTTATTCTCAATTAATATTACATGTTGAATATTTAAATGAAGAAAAAAAAAAATATAATTATACAAATAATATTTATATTGATATAGCTGTTAAAAGAAAAATAACAATACTTGACACTATATTTACAATTGTTATTATTATACTTGTTTGTATTGGAACATTTTTAATCGGTTGTAGACTTATTCCACAAAATCTTTATGCTAATATACGACAACCTACTCCTATACTTATTGGACTTTTAAGTCAATTTTTATGTTTACCTTTAGTAAGAATAAAACAATATAATAAATTCAATAAAATTTTAAATCTTTTATTTCAATAGTTAGCTTATGGTTTAGCTAAAATAGCTAAACTTGATTCATCAACATCAATTGGTTTATTATCAACAGGTTCATCACCAGGTGGTGGAGCATCAAATATGTATACAGCAATGTATGGTGGTGATGTGGCTTTATCAGCTTCAATGACATTTGCTAGTACTATTCTTGCTTTTGGTTTGTTTTTATTTTTTTTTATTTTTTATTCTTTTTTAAACATATTTGATATAATAATTTAAAGGTACATTTCCAGTATGGATACTTTTATTGGCTCGAGAATTTATCGATACACATAATGTTTATTTTCCGTATGTTTAATATTTATCATTTATTTCATAATTATCATTTATTTATTTTAAGATGGGAAAATATGTTTATCACACTTATTTCTCTTGTTATACCAGCTGGTAAAAGATTTTGAAAAAAAAAAAAAATTTTATTTTTTTTATTTTTTAAAATTTTATTGTTTATTTAAAGCTCTTGGTTTGTTACTTCGTTCTGTAAAACCAACGATTGCTGATCATTTAACAAAATATCTTCGTCTATTAACATTATTATTTATATTATATATATTAACATTTGGAGTTTATACAAATGTTTATGTATTTAAATTAATTGATTATAAAACAATAATTGTAAGTGCTATTTTACCTTATTCCGGTTTTATGATTGGATTAATAATGTCATTAATAACAAGACAAACTTGGCAACGTCTTATTGCGATTTTTATTGAAAGTGGTATGTAAATATTTCTTAATATTTTTTGCGTATATTTATTTTCAAATTGATTTATCACATTTCTTGACAATAAATATTTATATTTGAGATCATAAATAAAATAATATTTATGATTATATGAATATGAGTTTATTTATTTATTTAAATATATATATTCATTATAGTAGGTGATCCAAAAGTTTTAGAATATTTTTTTTTGCATATATCTCAGTTTAGACAAAAGATAAAATCTTAAATATTATTTTTGAAGATGTGCAGTTCAATTCTCTGAAAACTTTTATTTAACTCAATGTAAAATAATAGAACAAAGAATTTTTGTGAATCAAATAGTATGATTATGTGAATTGTATCTACTTTCCACATCTATTTCTAATTACACATTTTTTGTGAGTTTCTTGTGTTTTGAATAGACACTTTTAAATCTAATTATCAACAATACTATAACATATTACTGCTCTTTTAGAATGATTTATCTACGTTCTATTAAAATCTATTTAGGAGTACTAACAATGATCTCTCATATATTCTACGATAGAAACAACAACATTCTTCGAATAGTTCAGATTCTTATTCTAATTGATTTATTTTATCAAATGGTTTTTTTTAGCTTCGTTTAGAAAGAAAATTCCGTTTGCTACAAAGTCTTGTAAAAGTGAACTCGATTTTGCCACCGATCATGTTTTTAAGAGTTGATTTTCTGTCAATAGATAATGGAGAAAAACTGAGTCGATTCTGAAAATATTGCCTTGCCAAAAATGATGTCTTATAGAACGATCAAATGTTAAATATATAAACAATCGACTGAATCTTTGAAGAACTATCTTACATTGTATTACTTCTAAAAGCGAAACATTTTCTCGTACAGAAGAAAATAATTTAATAAAATAATATGTGGAAAATATATGTATTTCATATAATCATACTATTTAGTTCATAGAAAGATTTAGTTTTATTATTTAATATTATGTTAAATACACGTTTTTAGAGAATTGAATTGTACATCTTCAAAAATTATATTTAAGATTTTATCTTTTTGTCTGAACTGATATAAATATACAAAACACAAAATGTTGTAAAATTTTTGGATCATTCTGTATTACTCTAATAGTTTTAAATTTCTATAATATTTAATTGTTTGATATTACCTTTATTCTATTTAATTATTTTATTTAAAGGCACATATTAAATTATGATTATAAATAAAATCTCATTTTTCAATAAATCTTTATTTTAATATTTAAATAAGTTTCGTTATTTATTCTATTAAATTAAGTTTATGACGTAATTTAGTTAAAAGAATAACGTCTTTCGTTTTTTTTTCCTTTTCTTTCTTTTGAAAAAGATAAGTACTCATTCACCTCATTATTATTTCTTAACCAACAAGAAGAAAAAAAAACGACGAGTCTATCAGACACACATCAATTCCTTTATTTTTATTCTCTGTAGAATGTTTCTATGAATCTGCTTAGAAAATTTTCTCTTATGACTTAAACATCGGCTAAATTGTTTAAAAATTGATTAAAAATTGATTAGAANAATTATTTTGTTTCTATTGGTTAACATTATATTTTATATCTTAGAATTGATTTAAATGAAAAATTTTAACAATTAAATAATATATATATATATATATATATATGGTTATTTTAATTATATATTTAAATAAAAAAATTTTATTAAGAAAATTCACCAAAGATATACTTTTTCGTTAATCATAATCTGATATATTATCTTTCATAGAAATCTAATTTACTTTTTATTTTATTAGATAAAACTGTAAAATATGACATTATTGTCTACAAAACACATTCGAGATGATTTTATTCGAAAGATTTGTCTAATCTAGGATTTTTCTATAGGATTAAACTCTAAAATAAAAACAAATAAAAATCAATAAAATATTTATATGATAAATATAAATAATTATTTATAAGATTAAAATCGATTTTATAATGACGGAATATTTTCTAAATAGGAATAATCAATCTCAAAAAAAGTAAAAATTCTTTATTGAATATCTTAATTGATTATTTATATGAACACAAATATGTTTATAGATTTCGAGAAGTTTGTTCGTTTTCAATAATAAATAAATCGAAATAAAACATATAATTAATTATTCTAAATAAGTTAATCATTATGTATCTCTGTCTATGTCTTGTTCTTTTTATTTTCGTCGTTTCTTCGAGACAAAATTCTTGTTTTTGGTCATCTCAGTTGTTTACACATTTATATATTTTGTTTCAATGACTTATTTATATATATAATTAAAATTCAATTTAATCAAATTGATTATTATTAGCACGAGAAATTTGTTTATTTTTTATTATCTGTTTAAAAAAACCCAATAAGAAACGTTTTCTTCGTTTTTCTTAAATAACATCTATTAAACATATATAAAATATATTTATTTAACTTTTTAAATATTCAATATAAATTGATAATATAAACAATTAACTTAATTTTAAGATAGTAAATAAAATGTGTCAACGATCAGGTGAACAAGGAGATTTTCTTGCTGAAGCTCAATTGGCAATTGATGATGTTGCTGATGGAATTGTTGATGATAAACAATTATCAAAATATCTTAATAATCCAGATGATATATCAACAGCATTTATTAATATTAAATTAAAATCTAAAAAAGAATTTTGTATTGAATTATCTCAAAATGGTTATAGAATTGTTGGTTATCATTTTGATGATAATACTCAATCATCAAATTATTTTTATGAATCTTTACAAGCACTTTTAACAAATGAATCAAAATCTTATGTTGATTCTTTCGCGAAAACTTTACAAGATAAACTTTTTGCAACACAATATCAATTAGAACAATATCAAGATGATGATGATGATCAATGATCATTATCATCATCATCATCACTATTGTGATAGTGATCAACTAAATTGAGAATAAAAAATAAAAATAAAAAACATTCCAATATCTTTTTTTTTCATCTAGATCTTTTTATATTTAATAGGAAAAACAAAATATAAAACTGATAGATTATTTTTTCAGTCAGTTATTATATTATCTTAAATAATTATTCTAGATGGATCATCGAGTTATATCTCCTATTGAAATGTATTCTGTTGCACGACACAATAATAATTTTTATAAAAGTGTTGTATTTTATCTTCGATTTGAAACATTAAGATTTTCTCTTTCTCACTGGAAATCTGCGATTGAAACATGTTTACGTTTAACAATAAATGCTCAACCCCGATTACGTTTACAAGTTGATCTTTCAAGAAAAGAACCTTTTTTTATTATATTACCAATGAATATATTTGATTATTTACCTATTCAATTTATTCAAAGACCTAATCATCATGATTATGATGATGATCAACAAGAGACTTTTTTAGATCAAATTATTGAAAATGAAACAAATATTAATTTTAACTATAATCAATATTCACCTTTATGGCATTTAGTTATTCTTTTTTCAGACAATAGTAAAACATTTGATATAATAATAACATTGGATCATGCAATAGGTGATGGTGTATCAGGAATGGCTTTTTTTACAAGTTTTATTGAATGTCTATCAGATAAACCAATTTTTTATTTTTCATTAAATGATGATCGACCATTACATGAAATAATTCCATATAAATTACCTTGTTTTTCTTCACTTGTATTAAAAATAATTGAAAAAATTCTTTTACCTAATTATATTAGTAAATATTTATTTCCTAAAACATATTGGACAGGTTCTATTCAAATAGCAAATAATAAATTACCTAAAACACATTTAGTTTCATTTAAATTATCAAATACAATTATGGATTTATTACATAAAAAGTGTCAATTAGAAAAAACAACAATTCATACAGCAATATTATCTTCACTTTTATTAGCAATAACAGAAATAATGGATAAAAAAAATATTGAATTTTCTTGTAGTACAGCTGTTAATCTTCGTCGATTTTGTCAACCAATAATATCAAATAAACAAATGGGAGTTTTTATTTCAACTGCAAATAGTTATCATTATATTCCATATAGAGATAATTTAATAGATTTATTTTGGTCATTAGCTCGTCAAATAAAAGAACAAATAAATCAAGAAATCGAATATTCTGTATTATCATTAATTCATGCATTAAAATTTATATCCAATTGGGATCAATTTTTAATTGATCAACGAAAAACTTTACCTAATGGATTTCAACATAGTGTTGATATATCAAATATACTTCGTTGGTCATTTAAAACTACTAATCCATCATGGAAAATACTTCATGGTGGTTTTACACAATCAGCTAATGTTGTAGGAAGTGTTTTTCTTCTTAGTTTAGTTACTGTTAATGACATTTTAAAAGTTTATATTTCTTTTCATCAACATTCTATTAGAAATATTCAACAAGTACATTTTATGAAAGATAGAATGAAACAGATTTTAATTGACGCTATTTATTTATAAGAAGTTCTTTTTTTCGCAAAAAATTTTAATTACATCTTAAATAAATTTCTTTTCTTTTTATGGATTTATTCAATTGAAATTGATAATATTTTTCAATCAAATATTTTATTTAAAATAATATTTTTATATTATTTTATTTCAAAAGCAACGCGTCGGCTCCATGCGCCTCACTTAGCTCAATCCTGATAGCACGAAAACATATCATGCAACCTACGTTCGTACGTCGCTATATACATTCATAAGTGAGATTGAAATATAACCGAAGAAAATTCTTGAATGACTAGGATCACCGGAATATATTGAAATCTATTTACATTCAGATAATGCATTGCTCCTCATTCTTCTGTATGTAAATTACGTCTATTTACATTAGGCTTGGGACATGTGCCACTATCCAGTTCGAGGAATTAAACCATTGTATCCTGCTGGATTCCATTGGATTCAATATCGGATTATGTCAAAATGGTCTGATTCCGACGTATTTCGGTTGGATCCTGTCGGATTGATCCAGGCATCAAGTGGCCCGGAATCCGCCGAGCATTTACCTAGGAAAGAATATTATTGGATCCAATGGTTTCCGAAGAATGAATCCGACAAGGTTGTATCGAATCGTCCGATTAATCTTAAGAGATTCAACAGCATCCGATCGGATTTCACACATTAGCGTTCTATAGCTGATCTGTTTTCTATTCATTATAATTTGCTATAAACAAAATAAATATTAGAATTTATAACAACAACAATGGTAAAAATTCATTGGCTACCCTTATGACCCCTTTAATGATAACCAAGCACAAGATAAACCCAGATGGAGTTGTTAAACAAAGTGCACAAATATTAAAAATGCACATGCTATATTCTTTTCTCTCATTGGTTATCCATACATCTTTACACTTACACTCTTACCCATATACTCCTATAACTATACCCATATAGGTATACTCTTATATATGTACTCTCATATCCATACGCTAGTGATTATATCGTTGTGCCTATTATCTTACACGTGCACATCTGTAGGACGACCTAAAAGTTTTGGCATTTGACAGTGTGGATGTGCCCCAATGAAGAGAGCCACACTCACACTCCACAGACATAATCACATGCATCCAAACCCATCCACACCCACATCGGCATCCACACATCCACCAATACCGGCGCCCACACGCACATGTCCACATCCACAACTCATACCCACACTCCACACTCACATCCTTAACGCTTGCACTCCTATCCTCACACCTCTCAATACCCTCAGCCCTATAGCTGTATATCTCCACACCCATACTCACCCACATCCTGCAATTAAATTAAATAATAAATGTGGAAACCTCGGATTTAAATCCGAATGTTATGTGTACTTCAAAAAGTAAAAATCAATTTCTGTTTAAGTATCTTTGCAATAGGTGACTTAGCCTTCTTGTTCCTTAATGTTTTATATACCATTTTGTAGCCCATGAAATTCTCTATCGAATGGTATATAATAGCTGAGCTTTTATTTTATTATCAGAGAAAACGTTTTTTTGCCATAACGCCACAATTTCTTTAGAAAGTAG